TGACAAGAGAGCATCAACGTATGACATGTTGAATCCAGAAAGTTAAAACCGATTGAATCACACAACATCCCACATTAATCTGACACAATCAACAAACCAGCCTGGACTTCTCCAATAATCCATTCCTATCCTGGAGTTGTGGAGGCATTACCTGAATCTGGGTCTACTTCAGCAACATCCGAAGATTAACACATTCATGGAGAAGAGCATGTGAATGAAGAACCCGAGCCTGAGAGCGTCAGGAGAATGACGTCTTTACCGACCCAGACATTTGAGGGCTCCTCTGTCAAATAAGTTTCGGAATACGATGCAGAACCGTGACCCATACATAACTAAAAATCGACACCGACGCCGAAATCAACACCGGCGTCGACTTTGACTATCGCTACGATCACGGGCTACTGTACTTTTTGAGGGAAATTACATTGCAATGGCAGAAGCGTATGAGTTATCGATAGTTTGAAACTAATTTTTATTTTATTTTATTTTATTTTTTACGTTCTAACGATGCAACTAGTCCGAGACTGACGAGCATTTCTCTTCTGACTTCTACTACTACTATAATTAAACGTCTAAAAGTTCGGCCACACAGAACGCTACTGTATGTTCGCTACGTACGCCACGTACGCTTTGTACACTCTGCGACGCAGCTAACATAGGGAACATAGCATACGTAGCGTACGTAGCGTACGGAAGTCTGTGTGGCCAGTCACATTGGCAATAAAGGGAGATATTTTTCTGTTCGTATAGCGAACATAGCGTACGTTTCGTGCGTCGCGTACGTAGCGCTCTGTGTGGCCGAACCTTTAGACTACGCCCACCGGCATGTCCGAGAATCCGGTGTCTTCAGCGCATTGTTGTCGCATTAGTTCAAGCGGCTTGAGTCTACATCTCAGTATTTACACTAACGCGCACTTACACTACACTAGTTCAAACGGCTTGAGTCTCTCGAGCCTTGTCGCTGTCCTCTCGTTGTCAAGAAGCTGAATCGCTTCCATGTTTGTGTGGTCGTGAAGCCGATCTTCGTGCTTCACTAAAAGAATGAAATTGAATTTAATTTCAGAATATCCCACAGCTGTATATATACATATATATTATGATAACAGCCGGTCACTGTAGTCGTGCAGTCTAAAGCATGTACTGTCTTCGCTCACTCGGAATCCAGGATCATGGGTTTGAATCCCACTCAGGGTATGGATGTTTGGTATTTGTGTATGCGTTTTTTTCTATGCTTGTGTTGTCCTTTTTCAGGTAGAGGCCTTGCGACGAGCTGATCACCTGTCCAAGGAGTCTTACCGTCTGAAAAATGAATATGAAAGTGACTAAATCAACCCTATGCTCCAAAGTTGGAACAAGATGAGCTAAAAAAATATGATAAAGCGCAGAATTTCTTTGTCACCCACATTCATAGAAAATAGCACTGATATATGTTCAATTTTAGGTTTCAACAGCATAGCCTAAAGTGACTTTTGCCATGAAATTTATGTGCGCCATCAAGAAACAGTACCAAATTTTCCATGCCTTTTAGTGTAAAAGCTACCCGGGTGAAATAACTCATAGCCCAGTATAGCGGACAGGCGACCTCCGCAGAGAAGACAGGTCATGTGTAGCAAGCCGTCGGATGTCCTACGTGGCAGAACCACTGCATGTAATTCCCAGTTATAGTGTGTTCCAAAATTAGGTTAAGAACTGAACTTTGTTGCAGTAAATCGCTGAGATACGTGTAGGTTACTGCGAGGAATTGCCTCAGGCAATATTTTGTTATAAATAATACTTACATCCTGATGTGTCGCAGTATATGAAACAGTGTGTGCTTATTACATTTCACTTTTAATAAAAGTTCTACTCAGTTCTAAAAATTGAACAGTCATTTTCCATCCCGCCTAAGAACTGCAGGCGTAGGCTATTAGGAAGCACAATAATTTTGCATTCAGTGATGATAAATTCAGGTATAAAAATAAATATTGTAAGCTACCTAGTGCATTAGTAAAATTTTCGTTGTAGCTGAGGATACTTGAAAATGAAGCTAGAACAATGTGTCAGATACCATTTATGTGTAACAGGTCTATAGTCTATATTGAAACTGGTACATATTATGGCATGACCCCCGACAGCCGGAATAGTGAAGTCAGAATATACATTCATTTCTAGGCAACAACTCGTAAATACATTCCCACGACAATGAATAAGCAAGCAAAAATCGAGTAACTTCTGTTCCTATGCAACGGCGCGGTAAACGTCTAGTTAAAAATGTGGGCTCTGTTTTCTGCGTGGTTCGTGCCGAGGAGTTATCTTGAAGAAAACTGGCACTACAGTGCAGTTGAGGGTTGAACCAGCGGACAACAGAAGCGGAAACCCCTTCTATAGTCAATAATACACTTGACAGCATTACGTAAAGGAAGGATGAACTGAATGATAGGCCTAAATGAACGACAGAAAGGAAATAAGTTCAGACATGAAAATATGCACCAAAGAGAAGAGAAAACAGAAACAGATCACATAACCAATTGGTGGGTAGGAAGGTGGCTGTGTAGGTGGGTGGGTTAGTAGAAGTGTAGATGGTTGCATAGTTGTCTGGGTGGAAAAATGGATACACGGTTATTTGGGTGGCTAAGTGGTTGAATGCCGGTCACGGTAGCCGAGCGGTCTAAGGCATGTACTGTCTTCGCTCGCTTGGAAACAGGGAATCCCACTCAGGGCATGGATATTTAGTTTGTGTGTGTGCGTTTTTCTGTGTTTGTGTGCAGGTAGAGGCCTTGCGACGAGCTGATCACCCGCCCAAGGAGTCCTACCGAATGTGTAAGATCTAGAAAAACCGAAGTGAACGGAGAAGTTCATGGAGGTAGACCTAGGCCCACTGGGGCTGTAGTGCCAAGGAAAAAAAAAGTAGTTGAATGTGTGAGTGGGTCAGAATATGAAAAAACAGAATCAGTTTCATTCCACGCCTATCGTTGAATGTTAATTCTCAATATTATAAGATCT